TGATAACCGCAATAATCAACCCATAAATACCCAACACTCCAGCCATAACCACCGGCACTATCGATTTCATCACAAGCTCCGGCCTCATCACACCCATCGACGCGACTCCCACCCCACTCTTCGCAGTTCCGTACGCTGCTCCCATACCTTTCAATCATCAAAAGGCAACAAATTAAATCATCATCATCATTATTATTAAATTGAACAAACCAAGGAGAGAGAGAGTGACGAACAGGAGAAAACGAGAGCCGCGGCAGCGCCGAGGAAGCCGAAGAAAGGAGCGGTTTCGTCGCCACTGAAACCTGCCATGGCTAGATTTGATTCCTCTGCTACGGTGTTGAAACTTTCTCTCCTTGTTCTTTGTGGAAGAAGAAGAAGAATGATGAAATTGATTGGGTTTGTGGAGATCAGATCAAAGTGTAGTGAGCAAATGAATTTTGAAGAAGAAATTATTATTTGGATTGGTACAGGTGGAGACAGATTGCGGTGTGAGAGCGATGGGTCGTGTTGGGATTTTACTCTAATGCCCTTTTTCTCTTCCGAGGGCTTTTGTTTTATCTTACTGTAATAATGGGCCCGATATAACGTAGTTGACAGGGAGGGCTTGGCTTCTCTCTTGCTTGGGCTAAATTATGCAATTCCCGTTGCCAAAATCAAAAAAAAAAAAAAAAAAAAGAATAATTTATGTTTCCTAAAATTTGAATTACACAAAAATTACATGTGCATAAAAGACTATACAGAATTCTTTCTCATCTTACCTCATTTTGGAGCATGAATTTTGTAGACGCGTAAAAAGATCTTAATGGTGTTTTGATTGCTCATTTTCTTTGAAGAGTGCATCCTCGTTTATGAGAGGGGAATATCCACCTACAAAAAATTCTCCGATACTTAAGTCAGTAAAAGAATTAGGATCTATTATATAAGAATAATTATCAAATATCAAGTTTGAAGTGAGTATCCCTTAAGGTTATTTCTATATTTATATGATCAACATGAGTTGTGGGCTTATGTCCCTTTTAGAATAATGCTTATATAGAGAGTATAATAACATTATAATAATAATAACATAAGGATAAATAATAACTAACATTCCAAACTACAAATATTTAGTTATAATATGTAGATATGGTCAAAATAAGTGTAGGTTTTGGCTACTTCATAATGAAGAGTTTAAATGGTCATATTGGGTCATGCACTTAATATGTCTTTTGGGCCGAATAGGAACATAAGCCCCCTAGTCTCAGGAGTTTGGTTTGGGTCGAGTTGTATGGCTTGCAAATGGGTTGGTCATTCGGTCGAGTTCATAATTAGGCCATTTGGCCATGCTTTGTACGTGGATTGGCCTCGGGGCCGAGCTCTAATATATAATCTGGCCTCAGGTTCGAGCTCTCTCTAGGCTTTTAAGTATTCCAGCCTCGTGGCTAAGCTTTTATATGAGCTTTAAAGTAATTATACCCTCGTGATCGAGATCTTATCTAAGCTTTAAAGTAATTCCAAGCTCGTGGCCACACTTTTATCTGAGCTTCAAAATAATCATGTCTCGTGGTCGAGCTTTATCTCAACTTCAAAATAATTATGGCCTCGTCGTTGAGCTATATCCGAGCTTCAAAATAATTTTGGTCTCGTGGTCGAGCTAAATTCGAGCTTCAAAGTAATTCTAGCCTCGTGGTTGAGCTCTCTTTGAGCTTAAAGTGGTATGGTCTTAAGGCTGAGCTCTCTTTGAGTTTAAAGTAGTATGGCCTCGAGGTCGAGCTCTCTCTAAGCTTAAATTAATATGGCCTTAGGGACGAACTTTGTTTAAGCTTAATTAAAGTAGTATGGTTTTGAGACCGAGCTCTCTTTGAGCTTAAAGTAATATGGCCTCGAGCCCAAACTCTCTCTTAACTTAAAGTAATATGGCTTTAGGACTAAGCTCTCCGAGTTTAAAGTAATATAGCCTCGGGGCCAAATTCATCATTAGCCTATGAGCTAAACATTTTATTGGTCCCAATAAATCATTAGCATATGTGCTAGAGTTTATAAGTGTTATTGTGTAAACTTATGTGTAGGGGTGCAAAGTGAGTCAACTTGGTTCATATAGTTAAAAATTAGTCAGTTTAACTCTAATAACTTTTTGTTGAACTAAATTTTTGTAACTTAGTGTTAACTCATTGGCAAGTGTACCAAATCAATAGAGACTAAAGAATGATTTCATGAAATGGGTTTTTGGGTGCAATTAAAATAGATATGATGCATGAATAGTAAAGTGAACTTTTGTAGCTAAAATACTTGGAAATAAAATTAGATTAGAAATTATATGAATTAGTATTGTTGGGGTAAGATTTCACCTACTTCACCTTATGCTTGTAAAAACACATCATCTTCATTAATATGTTAACGTCAATCTACTAGTTTACTCAAAACTTAATCCCTTGGTAGAAAGAGCCTAAACTTCTTTATTAGACTTCAATCTCTTGAAAACCATAATAAGTAACTCTACTTTAAGAATTAAGATTTAAGATAACTAATGGTCTAAGTTTTATCCCTAGATACAATTTCCTTTTAGTATCTTATTCCAAGTCTAGGTACACAATATATTTTCCAATGTCAAACAAACCAAATATCAAGCTCTAAGTGGCCAAACCATAACAAGCATCAAGTGAAGGAACAAAACTACTAGAATTCAATGAAAAAGGCAATAAATATATTCAAAACATCTTCATATTACATAAGAGTTTAGTGGTTACATCTATCCTCAATAAGAATGAAGTTAACTCTTCATTGTCATGGAGAACTTAAGCTTACAAATGGAAGAAATGGAAGAAGGTGGAGACCCAAGGAAGAAGAAAGGAATGTTTCCACACACCAAAGCTAGCCTCCAAGTTCTCTTGGAGAATGTTTTCGTGTCCAACTGCCAAAAGATGATACCTCCCTCGCGTTTTAGACCTAAATAGGTAAAAAATTGTCACATTAGAAAAAGTGGGCTCAACGCCTAGACAAGGGGTGCCCAAGCGTGAGGTTTGCATATCAAGTGGCGCTCAACGCCCTTGGAGGGGCGCCCAGGAGCGAGCTTTGCGAGTCATCTGGCGCTCAGCACCCTTGGAGGGATGCCCAGGTGTGAGCTTTGTAAGCCATCTGGCGCTCAACGCCCTTGGAGGGGCGCCCAGGCGTGAGCTTTGCGAGCCATTTGGCGCTCAGCGCTCTTGGAGGGGAGTCTAGGCGTGATTCTGAACTTCTTCAAGTTCAAGTTTTTGTTGTTCTTCCTACTTGTCTTGGGTGTCAATACCTTGCTTTGATATAAAATCTTTTTCTAATTGATTTAAGCACACAAAAAGCGGGGAATAATGATCAAATTGAATCATTATAGCTCAAGATGTAACTACCTAGAATAATCAAAGAAAACTATGATTTAGAAGGTAAAAAGCTAAGGAAGAGTTGATTTTTGTTTAATATTCAATACTCAAATAATGGTAAAATCTGACTTTATCACTCAGCTCGACCCACCACGAGCTAGTGCAGTAGTAGATTAACCCAGTTAAGGATGTTTTGTTCTTCCAATTTCTTTTATATACTTATTACAATGCAATAAAAGCGAATTAACTCAACTCATTGTATAACATTAGTTTAGAGCATTATAATCAAAGTGATGAGCTATTTTACCAAACATTATTATAAAGATTGTAGTTAAGAATCAAGGTATCAACTTACATAACTTGTCAAACAAATAAATTAATCATTTAAACTATTCAAACATTATTGAACAATATTATAGTATTTAAAAAGATTAAATGGTCCATTTACATAACTAGAAGTAATAAATAATTATAATAAAAAAATTGTAAAAGAATACTAAAAATCTAATAAAGGATTTTTGATGGTGGGTTGTGAGTCAATCACCTTCAACTTAATTCAAGCCCGTTTAATCAAATTAAGTGAGTTGAATCAAATTTAATTTACATTTAAAAAAATTAAAATTTTTTCGACTCAATCTAACTCACTTGTAGTAATTAAATTCATTAATCGGTTTAAATACATTTTTATATTTCTAGTTACTTATGTGTTAAAGAGTGTAATTGCATTTAAAGTTTATGTATATTGAGATAGATAAGTTACGTTTGATTTCTGAACATATTCTTTTGAAACATCACGTCATTTTCTTTTACAATGATTTATTTCCTTGTTTTTCGTTTACAATAATTTAATAAACTTTAATCTCATCTCAACCAATAAATGGATTCTCTAAATCTCTTGCTAGGAATAGGTTCAATAAATTTTGAGCATGTTATCCCAGATATTGCAAATGTCATCAGTCACATATGCTTAACTCTGCAGCATATTAATGCATAATTTCTTAATTATTTTAATCCATTTGTATATTTTCTGCAAGCTTTTTAAGAGTTGAATCATATTTGTAAATATGACCAAGTGATATAAAAAAGTTATCTCGATTGATTCATTTAAATTCAATTCGGTATTTCAATTGTTATCTCGGCACATTTTAATATTTTAAAGTACAATTGTGATCCATTAACAACACTGAAGAAAAACCCTTTATGAACATGTCTTCTAATAAATTCAAATATAAAGCTATAATAGTTTTATAATAATTTGGTATGTTTATTATAATACTTAAATAATATACAAAATAGTATTGATAAAATAATTTCATGATGGCAAAAACAAAACAAAAAACCTAAATTAATAGATTCATAACATTTGAAATACTAATAAAAGTAAAAATAAAATATGTATTATTCTTAAATTAAAATTTCAATAGTATTTATCAATATTTATTAAGTTTATGAGTAGAATAAAAAAAATGAGAAATATATTTTAAGTTAACTTCTTTTTTATTTTAAAAGTTAAAATATGTGTTGTTAAATATTTTATTTAAATGCATCTATGTTTGTCGTATACATATTTTCCATTTTTTAATCTAATTTTGTGACATTTTTAATCAATTAACTAACTATTTCATGGTATTTTTTGTAATGATTAGCATATTTCCTCTGAATAAAAAACGCAACCAATGATGAGACTATACAATCAATAACGCGCTATCAAACACTACAAACCTGGTTGTTTTTCAACAACGATGCTTTTTGACACAGTCCAACCCTGCTTTTTCTTCTGCAGGTGTCTGTGTCCGTGTCCGGTACTCCTCTTTTCTTCCTTTTCCTCACTTTCCCCACACCCATAACCTCTCACTGACATGGCCGATTCCAAAGTTGAAACCATTTCCCGATTAGCCCAATGGAGAATCGACAACTTTGGACCCTGCTCCTACAAAAAATCCGACCCTTTCAAGCTCGGAATTTGGAACTGGTACGCACATCTCGTAACACATCTCTATACTATTAATTTGATTAGTGTCTTGTGTTGTGAGTGATTGTGCCTGAATTGTTATTGTATATGTATGTGTGATGTTTGATGTGTTGTCTATTATTCCCAGGTACATTTCCATAGAACGGAACAGGTACCTCTACATACACATCTTTCCTGAGCCTTCTCGGCTTTCCAAGGAACAGCCGCCTGTAGCTCGCTTCATCCTACGAGTCTCCAACAACTCTGGCCCTACCCGCAAGTTTTACATCTCCCCTGGTCTGTGCCACACTGCTACTCCCTTGTTCCCTCTCCTCTTTAATAGTCAAAATTTTGAATTGGGGTTTTTGCTTTCTGCTATTCAATCTTAATGTTTAGACCAACATGGTGTGCAATATGTTTGTCAAATAATAATTGATTTTCAAATGTCTATGAAATAACATCAGTTGTGAGAACGTAGTTTCTTAAATGATTTTTAATACGTCGAGGAACTAGTCTGTGATGTGAAAGATTACTATTTGACTATCGGCCGAAGATACCCTCTGTACCCCAAAACTCTTAATATTGAGATAGGGAGTGGTTCAATCTATTTCCATGTCGGTGTGTTTGGAATAACATATGTTGGGAGAAGGGAGCTTCTTAAATTGGTTTTCTGACCAAAAGAATTAGTCTTTGATACGTGGTTCTCAGCTGAAGATATCTTGGGTGCCAAACCAAATCTTCATATTAAAATACTGAGACTTTATTGATCATGTGAAAATATTTGATCCTATGTCATATGAGTATCCATGTGTGTTGTATGTTTTGGGAGTGAAACAGACGGAAGATGGATGTTGATTACAAAAGATATGGCAGAATATTTGATGGAGACTATACCTGTAGACTAAGATTTTAGATTCCGATTTTCCTTACTTAGTAGTTATTATTGTGTGGCTATTATCAAGAAATCAAGTCCTTGGTTAAGTGAGTTGAGACTCCTAAGATAAAACAGGTTGTAAAGATTGGTTCATTATTATTGAATATAGTAAAAATGAGGTATAAGATTAATCTCCGCTTCTGTAAAAAAGTACATATAGGATATTATATTTATAATAATGAAAATATGGGTTAAGTCCAAAATACAAATAATGATAGAAAATAAATGACAACAAAGAAACAAAAGATTGAATATAAAAGATAAGATATCTAAGATATCCAGGATATCTAACACTCTCCTTCAAGCTGGTGCATATAAATCGTATGTACCAAGCTTATTACAAATATAATCAATTCTCAGTCTCCGTAAAGGCGTAGTGAAAGTATATGCTAACTGATCACTTGTGTTAACGAACTTAGTTTTGATGTCTTCGGATACAATCTTCTCTCAAATGAAATCATAGTCAATCTCAATGAGTTTGGTCCTCTCATGAAAGACAAGATTAGAACTAATATGAAAAACAACCTGATTGTCAAATATAAGTGTCATTTGAATGACATCTCTAAATTGTAACTCTCTAAACAGTTGCTTAAGCTAAACAAATTCACAAGTGGCTGACGCTATCGCTCTATATTCTGCTTTTGCACTAAATCTTGTCACAACACTTTGTTTCTTGCTCTTCCAAGAGATCAATTTACCACCAGTGGAGATACAATATCCGAAAGTAGATCTCCTATCAGAAGAAGATCCTGGCTAATTAGCATCTAAATAACAAACAACTCTTGTATGATTATTGGAACCATATCACAAACCTTTTCTAGGAGATCCTTTAATGTACTTTAATATACGAATGATTGCATTCCAATGATCTTCACATGGGGAATTGAGAAATTGACTCATCACATTGACTACAAAGGAAACATCAGGACGAGTAACTATAAGATAATTTAATTTTCCAACTAATCTTCTATACTATTTAGGATCTGAAATAGGCTCCCATTGATTTGGTAGGACTTTGGTATTAGGATCCATGGGTGTGTCAACATATTTTGAATTCATCAACCCAATTTCCTCCAGAATATCCAATGCATACTTTCTTTGAGATGTAATAATACCATCATTGGATTGTGCTACCTCAATACCCAAGAAACATCCAAGTTTGCCAAGATCTTTGGTCTAAAAATGGTTTTTCATATGGGAGATGCTATAAAGGTCAATATCTGTAAGAACAACTTCATCAACATATACTATTAAATAGACACATCCAATACTTAAGTGATGGTAAAAGACTGAATAATTGGTCCAATAGTGGGTGTTATGATAGACCCAACAAATAACAAATCTCAGCTATAATAAACTCTAACTCATGGCTCTAATACTATATTGAATATAGTAAAAACTAGGTATATGTTTAGTCTTCCCTCTTGTAGAAAATACACACAGGGTACTGTATTTGTAATAAAGATATATAGATTAAGTCCAAAATACAAATAATGATAGAAAAAAAATAATAAAAGAGAAATAGAAGATAAAAGATTAAAGATAAAATATCCAGGATATCTAACATATAATTTGGATTAAGGATCCTGCCTGGTGGCACAAGATTGTCTGTCTTGACCAATTGCAGCTCCCGCGGAAGAAAAGTTGCTTGTGAGGGTGCATGCATGGATAGCTCACCATGGCATTTGGACAGTTGGATAGATCGGTTCAGCATGATCCCAAATCTATCTTTTCTAGAGAAGTCTCTAAATACCGTGTTAAACTCTAGGAAGAGAGAAAAATTGAGATGATACTGGTTGTATCTAAGACAACATGAGGAACGTGGGTGCTTCATTTATAATACAATTGATAGAGGAGATGATATCCTCAAATAACAAATATATTATATGGGAATAAATAAACCTTTCCTACACACACACACACACATATATATATTTTCTAGAATATATAAAATCAACTCCTTATTTCTCTAGTTATAAAAAATAAAATTTGGTGGCAATGTGATTTGAGAATATGGAAATATGCACTGTAAGCTGTCAGTCAATAAGAACTTGTCATGCATGATAAAATTGTTGATCTTTATAATAATTATTTTAGAAGTCATACCTAACATAATTTCTGATTGTCTGAGAATGCATAGAAATTAGTCTCATGTCATTTTAGGCTGTATGGCTATTAGCGTAGCAAGCTTTATACGAACAATTACATCATCTCTTTGTTCTTCTAATTCATTCTGCTAGACATGACACAGCTATACTTTCTCTTCTCTATTTAGGTTTTGGGCTACGTTCTTATGAATCTCTTTTTTCAAGACTGTGTACCTAACCATCCAAATCTTTGGGCCTTCTCTATTTGCTCAGACCTTGTGATATGTTGATTTATTGTGCTTGTTCTATTGAGTCTGATGTTGCCATAGACAAACAGGGAAAGCGGGTGGGAAATGCATGGTAGGTGGTTTGGTTATTTTTCATTCAGATAAATTGCTATGATTTTTCTGTTTTGTGCATTACTTATCTGGCAATGCAGAGTAGACTGTGGTGGACAAAATAATGATAAATGAAAAATGAGATTCAATGGCTTGGAAATAATGTAGGTAGGTATTATAAGAAGGGGGCTTTGATGGAGTATTTAAATCTCTTAGTTATCTCTCTATGAAAATTAGTTTTTAAGAAGTATTTGAGATTTTGAGGTTGAATTAGACCTAAATTCACTTTGTGAGATGGTATCAAAGCATATTCTAGAAAGATTTATTAAGCCTATCATGTCACATAATATCAGACCATCTATAAATATTTAGTCTTATGTTCGAAATGTCTAGTCCTTAATGTGAGGGAATTTGTTGGAGATTACACATTCACTAAAGATAAGTGTTAAATATAGTGAAGAAGATTAGGAGAAATCTCCCTTATGTCTTATGTATTTAGCATACAATATGATAGTTTATTATAATGTAAGATAAGGGTTAAACCCTACAATACAGAATGGGGCTGAGCCCAATTAACAGAAACACACAACATAAACATCTACACACTCCCCCTCAAGCTGGAGCAATATAAATCCATATTGTTCCAAGCTGGTTAACAAAGATAGTCAATTCTAGTCCCTAAGGACTTGGTGAATATGTCTGCCACAACTGGTTGCTGAGTTAACGAACTCATCTTGATATCTCCGGATATGAGTTTTTTTCTCTAATAAATGACAATCAACTTCAATGGCTTGGTTCTCTCATGGAAGACAGGGTTAGAGCTAAGATGAAGAGCAAGCTTGAGGTGTATCACATCATAGTGTAGCTAGTGGCATCTCCAAATTTCAATTCATTAAGTAATTGTTTCAGCACACAAGCTCGCAAGAGTAGCAGATGCCATAGCTCTATATTCGCTTCTGCGCTTAGAGCTTGCCACAACACTTTGCTTACTTACTTTTCCAAGATATCAGGTTGCCACCAATAGAGACACACATATCACAGTAAGTAGACCTCCTATCAGAAGGGGAACCAGCCAATCAGCATCGATAGCCACGATTTTTTATCGTTGTTAGGGCCATATAGCAAACTTTCCGGTGATCTTTTTATACTTCAGTATGCGGAACAACTGCATCCCAATGGTCTTCTCACACTGGGGAGTTTAGAAAATTGACTCACCACACTACTGCAGAGGAAATGTCAGGACGCTAACAGTAGATAGTTTAATTACCAACTACTCTTCTGTACCGTCAGATCTGAGAAAGAATCTCCCCTTGATTTGGTAACGAAAGTTTTGATGTTACGGTCCATAGGTGTCTCAACAGATTTACAGTTCATAACCCTGTTTCCTCCAAGATGTCTAACACACTTCCTCTGAATTGCAATACCACATTGGATTGTGCTACTCATACCCAAAGTACCGGAGTTTGCAAGTATCTTTGGTTTGAAAATGGATGACAAAGGTGTTGTTTATCTGAGAGAAGTGCGAGATAGTCACTTCCTGTGAGAACATATCATCAAGCATACACTATGAAGTAAAAATACATCCAGCACTTGAGTGGCGATAGAACACTGAATGATCCGCTTCACTGCGAGACATAACCAAATTTTGAACAACAGCTGAATTTACCAAAACCACGCCCGAGGAGATTGTTTTAGGCCATATAAGGATTTGCGATACGACATAAACCAATTCAGATGACTCCCCCTTAGCCACAAAGTCCAGCGGTTGGCTGCCATTATAATTTCTTCATGCAAATCAAACCATTTAGGAAAGCAATTTTTGACATCAAGTTTGGTAAAGCGTCATTGTCGAAGAGCGCGCCATGTCAATGAATGTGCGACAGATGGGTCATTTTGCCACTGGAGAAAAAAAAGTAGTATACCATAATCCAAACCAAAATTTGTGTGTAGCCGTTGGCAACCAGTCAGAGCTTTCAGACGATCCCAATTGTGGCCATCAGGGCCAACCTTGATAGCATACACCACACCTGCAACCCAACAACCGACTTTGTAGATGGTGTGGACAAGCTCCCAAGTTCCACTTTTCTTGTAAGCACTTAATTCATCCAGCATAGCTTGACGCCAGCTAGGATGATTAATGCATCACCCACAGATTAGGAATTGCACAGAGAAATGGTGAGAGACAAGTGTAAAAGATGGAGATAATCTGTGGTAACTAAAGAACCAGTATAAGGGGGGAAGGGTTACGGGTGGTTAGAGCGTAGATACCTTACGTAGTGTCAATAGCAAGTCATACTCATTTGATGGAGCCGGAGGAGCACAGGAGGGCGGCACTGGAAGTGTAGTCGGAGGGAGACAATTGCGGCGATATAAACCTGAAGGGTGGTGGTGAAGGACGATCCTGTGGTGAATGAGAGTCTAAAGAAAGGAGACAAAATGGGTGGAGCATCACCCAGGAGGATCACAGATAAGAGAATATCAACAGTAACAGGAGAGGTAGAGGGAGAGTACAGAACTAGAAGATAAATGTGTAAAGTAAAAAAAGATTCATCAAAAGTGACCAGCAGAGATAAAATGACGATTGAGGGGAAGGGAAAAACACTTATAGCCCTTTTGTGTACCGTGGAAATCCTAAGAAGCACATTTGTGAGACCTAGGAGATAACTTATCAAGACCAGGACTAAAATACATGAACAAAAACAATAGACCCAAAAAATCTAAGAGGTAATGGATGGTAAGAGGGTCTTGAGGAAATAATATGAATGAGGATTGTGTTTTGC